CCCGCCCCCCTCACCCGTGGTCCAGCCTGCCGTAGGGGAAGGGCAGGAGGGGAGCGTAGAGGGGGCTGCTGGTGTAGCGCAGTATGGGGTTGCAGCGGTAGATCTGCTCCAGGACCTCGGGGCTGCCGCAGTGCTCCTGGGATGGCAAAGCAATGGCAGCAGCTGCGGAGGGGCTGCCCGGCCGAGTGCCGGGCACAGGCGCCCACCGCCGCCCCAGGGCACGCGAGGCCCTGACCGTCCACCCCGGCCCTGCCGACGGCTGCAGGCGCGGGCAGCCCCGTGCCACGGGCTCACCTCAACATCACGCATGAGCAGCTGGGTGGGCGTCTGGACGGGTGCTTTGCTGTCGATGACCTTCTGCACCGCGCACACCCAGTGCACGGCCTCGTTCAGGTGCTCCGTGTACAGGCGGTAGCAATGCTTCCTGCCAAACACCGTCACGCTCCAGTAGCCTGCGAGGGACAGACAGCTCACCCACTGCCCACCAGCACCCTCACCCCAAGGACCCCAGCTGGGCCGGCTCAACACCCCAGGGCTCAGCATAGCCCCTCCTGGGTGACGGAGGCCTCCGGGGCTGGGAGGGCGACGCAGGGCACGAGGGGCCGCGACAGTGCAGCCCGACCAAGGGGCGTGGGTGCCTTACCCGTCTCCTTGTAGGTCTGCTTGTCTGGCCAGAGCACGGAGCAGAGGCTGGTGAGCACGAGGGAGCCCAGCCGTCGGGCCCCCTTCTCGTTGCTGCTGTAGTAGTCCAGGGAGTCGGGTGTCAGCACGAACCAGTACTTCCGAGGCCGGATCCAGTGGGTCTTCACGCCGCCCCGCACCTCCCGCTGCAGCCAGCCTGGGAAGGGCCAGCCTCAGCCCCTGCCACCGGCACCATCCGCCCCAGCGGCTCTCCAGCACGGGGCAGGGTCTGCCTGGCACCGGCCCAGCCAGTGCTCCCTGACCCTCTGGGACAGGATCCAGCCACAGTCGGGGCACGATCCTGCCAGCCCCAGCTGTGCCCCGGCTCCTCCGGAGGCAGAGGCCCCTGTGCCCCAGCCCGGCTGCGCCCACCTTTCACGAGAGCGTCGGGATCATCCTCCACTGGCCCCAGGCCCTTCTCCACGATGAGGCTGCGCATCTCCTCTGCGACGAGCAGGGACCTGGGGATGACACAGGGCTGAGCCCGGGTGCCTGCGGGTGCCTCCCACGGCCCCTGAGCAGGGAGCCAGCCCGTGGGCTGGGGTAAGTCGGGTCCCGAGGGGCTCGGGGTACCCCGCAACCCCACGGTGGGAACACGGCAGAGCCATCGGGTGCAGATGACCCTGGCTAAAAATAAGCTGTTTGCAGTCGCGGCCCTGCCAAGGAATTCGGAAAATGAACAACCAGGAAGGAATGTTGGCAGCAGCGTCAGCACTGGGAGGATGGGGAGCGAGCAGGCCCCTGTGTCCCAGCACCCCATCTCCCTGGGCACACACCGCCCCAGGGCATGGCCTCCACCAGTGGGCATGGCCCGGCAGAGCCTCCCAGTCCGGCAGAGCCTCCTGGCACAGGAGGAGCCACACATGGCCCCCATCATCTAAGCCTGGGGGAGCCAAGCCATCCAGCATGGCAGAGGGTTGGAGACGTGCCTGAGGATGCACCAGTGATGGGGACAGAGTGTCGCAGTCCCGGCTCTGCCGTCCTCTGCTCTAGCTGATAGACTGGCACAGCATGGTGCCAGCCCCGTGGGCAGGACAGTACAGCGCACACCGGCACCAGTGCATCCTCCCATGGCATGCCAGGCCACCAGCTCCTGCAGCACCACGCGAGGGACACGACGGGTTGCCCGGCGGGCTGGAGGCAGGGGGGCACTCACCGCTCCGAGCCGCTGCTGCTGCACGGCGGGG